TGAATGAGTACCATACCTCAATAGCATCTGACTTATTACAATCAGTAGATGATAATCAAGATCATTGTAGCCTCACAATTACTCCAACAGTATTGGATGGGATCAAGCATTTTCGATTTAAAGAAATCAGGGGCGGATCCAGGATCTTTTTTAGGAAGGGGTGCACTCGTCTCTTGCTCTACTTCAACACCAATAAACCACATAGTTTTTTTTGTTGGCAGAATACTAGCTGTATTAGAAAACCGCAGGTCATCTCTCAGGGAGGGGGGGGTGCGCACCCCCTGCACCCTCCCCCTAGATCCGCCCCTGGAAATAAAACTCTCTAAAACCACTTAAGACATGCAAGACAAAGGGGGCAGATGGTAAACCAGCACAGATATTGAAAATCGAAGCAAGTCCACTCCCGGACATTTTCGCACCAGTCCACTAATGAATCTTTGCTCTGAGCTGGTGGGAGTCTTTCCTGAAGCCTTAAAGGTTACAAGGGTAACTCCAATGTATAAAGGTGGTGTATTAACCATCGGACGTACAAGAAAATTCATACCCCCACCGTGGTACAAGAGGGGATAGAACCCCTACCCGGAGTTTTTAATATGTTGCAGTATTTTGAAACGATTTTACTTTTAGTGGAAAGCCTGTGATCTTCTTAACAAGATGAGCTATATTTTGTGATCGCTATGGTCGCTATCTCGGCCGCCATCTTAGATTTTACCAAGAATTGGAAATCAGGTTAAAACCGGGAGAAATGGTATTTTTTTGTGCTTTACATGAAAAATAACACATATAAACACTTTTCATGATTTTAGCCACAAGATTTACTTTTAGTATTGAAAGAAGTTGAAAAAAGCATGTATTTTCACCCAAAATTGGCTTGACCGCTTGTTACTTATGACGTCATATCTCGTAACCATAGCAACTGACCATCACTAAACTCGTTTGATGTTTTATCCTCTTGGAAAAAAACTCACAAAACCCTTATGGGGGGGGGCATCTATCCCCCCTGTACGCCCGAGGGTTAACTGACAGAGACAAGAATAGGCCAATATTTTGCCTATAATTTTTAAAAGAGTATGAACGCTTTGTTATGAACAATTACAACAACATGCAAGTCAACACAAGTTTATTACTGAAGAACATTTTGCTTATTCAAGGAACTGTTCTACTATTACACCAGTACTAAAAGTCGTTGATGAAAGGAAATGGGCCATGGACAACATACTACTTACTTCTTATACATTCCTAGTCTTAAAGAAAGCGTTTCATGTAATCCATTATTCAATGCTAGCCCTTCTAAACAAATTAGAACATTATGGAATTTGAGACTTGAGATAGTTTCAAGATTACCTTTTTAATAGAAAGGAATACGTGCAAGGAAGATCAGTCATGGAGTACCACAAAAAAAAACAGCTACTGATGAAACTCTAATGTTTCTTTATGCACATCGCTCTGGTTCCGATCTGGAGGTACTTGTAAATGAAGATCTACAGAATTTCGCCTCTTAGCTTCGTCAAACAAGTTGATCTTGAATGAGAGAAGTCTGAGTTGATGGTGATAGGAACAAGGAAAGGGTTGGACCCAGGTTTCGAAATGAATATACAGATAGAACAAGACCAACTTAAGGTTACATATTATTCAGCACATCACCTAGTTGATTGAAACAGTTTCTCCCAAGATTGCACTATCGAACAGGGTCAATCTTAGGGTCAATCAGGTTTCTTAGCTGCTAAGATCTTGCTAACGATACTTCCAGTGTTGGGTTGTGGTTGTGTTGTTTGGCGGCATGAGTATAATAAAAGCCTGGCTGAACTGAAAGGATTGAAAAAAATACAAAATAAGGCTATAACAGTGATCTTAAAAGCCAAAAGAACATCATGTACATGTTGCAGTTATATTTTTCATTTCAGTTAATTTTTTATATTTCCTTTGTTTTAAAAATCATTAGCATTCATTACCATGCCCTCCAAAAATGGGAAAATAAAAATTAACTGAGATAAAAAATTAACTACAACATACACAAGAAATGAGGAATACTTTGGGTTTATTGACACTTTTTAACAGAAGACGATTCCTTAAATTTATTTGTATCTTCAGAATTGTAAAAAGTCAAACTTGTCCAAAGCAGTTGAGTGGTGTACTGGTCCAGAGAAAGCAGCTTCATGGTAGATCTCTTAGGAACAAGTGTATTTTAAATGTTAAGGGTGCAAAGACCTCTTCTGGGCAAAGAACAGTTGAAGCAGCTGTATCCAAAGATTGGAATTTGCTGCCAACGAAAATTAAGAAAATAGCTGTTTTATATTATCTCGTTTTAAGAGGGAGCTATACGATTATTTAAGAAAAGATGATATTGACAATGACAGGTGTACATTTTAATTCTTTTAATTGCTTTTAATCAATTGCATGCCAATTTTTTTAAATAGGTTTTTTTCTATATTTTATGATGCTTTGTATATTCATCAGCTAAATATTTTATGAAGCTTGTGCATTATTTAGCTAGACTAGACTCTGGTGAAGACAAGTGTGTTTTTTCTAATACTGAAAGACTTTTCCAGTTTAAATAAAGCATTTATTATTATCATTATTATCATCATCACCATGAAGGCCTTACTACCCTTTACAGTTGTTTCCAGATAATTATGCATTAACTCGTGAACTCGCTTTAAAGAGGGCCATCTCTAAAGGTAGTTTGGTATGCATAACTGTGCTGAGTACATTATTTCTCAATTAGTAAATCTGTAAAATGGAGAACTTGGTGGTAGCAAACTTAAAAGTAAATACATATATTTTTAGTATAATTTGACAACAATCTTTAAACTAATTAATTTAAAAACATATATCGATATGGCACATTATGGAAATCACGATGCTCCACTGCATTGTCTTGACAATTGCTCTGTCAATAGTAATATTTTTCCACAGGTTTGGCAAAGAGCATGCTTTTCCAACTGCATCTAAACTAAGTTGGTCTTTCTCGCCAACTGCTATTTTCCTGAGCACAAATGAGTACACGATTTGCTCAGTATGGAAGTAGACAATTTGTAATTAGGGGCCCATTTCTTCAAGAGCCCGGTAACTTTTCGCGTCCAAAGGCACATTTTGAAGTCAAAACCTGTAAGTTATTAATAGTAGCACAGATCCTAGCTCACAAACCTGTCAATTTTGCTTCGTTAACAGATGTTTTCATTTTACCCATTTTCAAAATTACTGAAACTTTGATCTTGAATGCAAACACGGAAAACAAAAAACAGCTTTTCGGGCCCGAAAAGTTATCGGGACTTCGCGAAACGGGTCCCACTGCCCTTATTATCACTTTGTTAAGTGACTTTTTAACGCTCACTGAGTCCTAGCTGTCATTGATGGCTGAGTCGAAATGGAGCAGAATGCGACAGAAAGAACAAATACCACACGTTTTGGTGGGAAATCGGTCTGTCGGTGGACTGGAACGGGTAGCGCATGCGTAATGTTTGCGATTTTGAATCACACGTATATTTTATTGTCATGAAGTGTACCTTCAAATAACGAGATATAAAATGACCCAGTCATCTTGTAAACGGGATACAAAATCAGAAAGTCATCCCGGTATGAAACTCGCGCCGGTGCGAATTTTCTCACGTAAACACCCACTTAGTACTGGACACATTCTCGTCTAATTAAAAAACGTGCTGGAGTTGGGAGATAAAACTAATCATTTCGACTTTACGTTGATGGCTGTTATTTTATTCATTTATCTGCATTAATCATTCATTGATCAATGCAGTCCCTTAAAAATGTATGATTCGTTTCTCCCCAAACTAATAAAAAATAGGCTTTAAGATTTCCGAGTATAACTTTTATTACTATTATTTGTTAAATTTATGCCAAAACCAAGTTGCATTATATCGTTCCAGTTATTTTGTTTGACTTTTCCAGATATCCCGCGGTTATTTCATTTTCTGTGACCTTGAACGACGTTTCTGGTAAAATGATTTCATATATTGCGACAAATCTGACCAATCACAGAGGTCTAAAGAACCTCGTGATAACCACATGAGCAAACATTTCTTAAAACTAATGAACGTTTCTAGGAATTACGCTCGTCCTTTTGCGTGGGATAGTTTCTAAGAAAACGTCTCAGAAGCTTTTTGCTTTTATCTTATTTTGTTGATTTTATAAACTGTTGATGAACGCTCCCATACTGTTAGTACATTGAACATTCATAAATAATCAGAATAAGAAAAACTCTTTCTGCGGTTTACGTTGGATCTACCGGCCAATCCTAAATGTACGTCCATCCATACACGCAGTGAGACCTGTTTAAATTGAAACATAACATGTAAAACTTAAAATAGTTACACAGCTTGATGTATATATGTTACAGGTTAAAATTAAATTCAGGTTAAAATTTTTTAACCTAGGAAATTGAGAATCCACCTAGGTTAAAAAATTTAACCTGAATTAAATTTTGACCTGCAATATATATATACACAAGTGAACCTCAAACTGTCTCTACATGTGTACCTCTTTTTGTGCCAGAGAGGAAGTAAAGACCACTAAATGCCTTGCGAGTGTATCTACACTGTAATGTACTAGTACGGTACATGTGTAAACTTCTTGACAAAGTGGCCAGTTTATAGAGGTGAAGGCAATATAAAATAACTAGCTGGGACCTTAGAAAAGGTGAACACGACTGCTTAACAGAGGTAACTGCTGAAAACAGGTCAGTTTACCAGTAGTTAAGGGAAATGATTTCCCAGACTTTGGTAAGTGACTATTCAATAAAGGGGGACAGCCTAATACAGGTTTGCTTAATACAAGTTCGACCGTACATTTTGCATATTTATTTACCGGCACTCACGTTAACAACAGTGCATGACTCTGAAGAATTTCAGCACTTGACGCCTAGGTAATTTTCAAACGTAATAATTATTTTTTTTTTTGGTTCATTTACCTTTTTGCTTTTACCGGTTAAAATAATGATATTTAGTACATGTACATTCTTGTGGAGTTAATGTGCTGTCATTATCATTTTATCACAGGCTCTGGAGGATATCAAGACGGAGCAACTACAAAAGTAAGGTTAATTTCAGATCCTTCAAGGAATAATTAATTACTGTCACCTCATTTTTGCTGTCAGTGTCAGATTGGTGTGATTGGGAGCATGTCTTTACAGCAATGAATCTGTAGAACTAAAGACACCTTACAGGCTTTTCCCTCTCTCTCCTCTTGCTCGTACTGCGTAAGTGCTTACATGCAATAATGTTCATTTAATGTAGTTTCAGTGGGAGTAACAGCTGATTCCTTGAATCATGTTTTGATGTACATAACTATAACTGCAAGGCTGTGTGGCTGTGTTCTTGGGCAGCAGTGTTTCAATAACAACTCAGATTGGATGAGGTTTATGTGATATCTGGAATACCTTGATTATTCTGGACGTCACAAAATTTGAACCTTATCGTCATTGTTTTACACAATGTTTTACACAGGTGTTTTACACAAATAACAAGAAACACACTGTCGCAGAACACAGTATTAAATTGCTCTTGGAAATCATGCATTGCATTTGCAACCTACAGATTTAAGTAAGCAAGCAGTTAACTAGCTAATCTTCACTTCAGGCTGATTTTCAAAATTACCTTTAGGCTCTTATCTAATGAGAAGACAGATAACACAATATAATAGAGTATTATTAGTGTCTTCTTCTAAATAACTGTCCTTATTTTACAGACAAAGGGAATCAACAAACCCTGAATCTATACAGACAGATCCACTGCAAATTTTTCTTGAAGCAGTGGAAAACTGTAAGCCTATCGTTGGGGTCAGAGGAATGAATAGAGGAGGCAAGGTCTATCAGGTAATATAGCACAGTCTGGGTTTTACTAAAAAAAAGAAAAGAAAAGAAAAGAAAAGGAAAAAAGCACTTTATTTTAGTGTTAAGGTAGTTGGCACGAAAATACTAATTGGGACACTATTTTTACGTCTCCAACTGAAGACCGGGCCGCCATTTTACGTGGTCATCCGAGCCACGCGAAGGTCTTGCTGCTTGAAGTGCAAAGGTAGTACCTTCATTTCTCAGTTATTTTAAGACCCTGAGTGATGGTCCGGCCCCGGGAATCGAACCCACGACCTCCCGCTCTGCAGTCAACCACTTTACCGACTGAGCTAATCCTTCCGCGGTTAGGGAAGTAACTGTACATGTGTACTTGGAATTAACATGTAATTAACATGTAAGTATGTGACTGTCTGGCACTTAGCTGATGGCATTTCATTTATTTAGATCTTTCCACCGTGTTTTCCAACTACAAGAACCACTTAGGGAAAATCCGTCGACACCGCCACTGGAAAAAGCGCCTTTTAATGTGTAAAATTACCAAGTTTTAAAGTGATTTTGTTAAAAACTAACTCGCACAGTCTATATAGTCACGAAATTTTACAGAGTACAAACTTTTTTTTCTCCCGCCACACAAACGTCTGTGAATTTTCGCAACTTGCGGAGCTACATGTATATCTTCGCTCCATTGAGTTGAATCACTTTCAAACTTAGCAGGTTTACTAATTTTATGGCACTCTTTCCAGCAGTGTGGACGGATTTTACTAATTGAGCCTGATCAACTTGAGAAAATCCATGGAGGGGTCTATTGAAAATTGATAAACAAAAAAAAAAAAAAAAAAAAAAAAAAACTAGCCAATAAAAGTTCAAAAATTTACTGCTGTACATTTTCTTGCTTTCTTTATTTCCGAACACTGTAATGGAGGTCGTGCAAGTTATTCTGACTTTTCGCTCTGTGAATAAAGTGTTGATGTCTAATTGAGTCTTTGAAAATGCCTTTTCTGTTCAGGAAAGTAGCGGAAGTACGTCTGTTTGTCTTCTTTTAGTTAAAGGACCGAGATTCAAAATCTTACCCTTTCCAGATTTGGGGAGCAATCATTTTAACAATTTAATTTAATTTTGGCATTTTTGGACAAATTTAGCTGGTTAGCACAGTCTTACAGTACTCGGAAAGTAACAGTCACAAAATTAGGAGTCGCTCCATCCTGCTAATCTCTAAAACGGATGGTGGCAATTCCATTTGAGTCAAACTATCTCTTGGAGGCCTGTAGTCAGTAAAGTTTCGCATTGCGTCTTGTCTAACTTTCAGGTGCCTATTCCTCTTCCTCCTCAACGCCGCCGTTTTCTAGCAATCAAATGGCTGATAACCGCTGTTCGGGAACAGCAGAAAACAAATAAGAACGCAAGAATGTACAAGAAACTGGCTAAAGAGCTTCTCAATGCTTACAACAATGAGGTAACGAATGATTCCGATACACCATGCACTTGCCACTTCAATATTACGTTACTGATTTTGGACAGAATTTTGTGTTTAATTGACCAAAATGGATAGAAGCGAGCATCTCATTCGCGGTTGAGGAAAAGAACAGCTGCCTTCAAAGTAAAGTCGAACCCCGTTAATACGGACAATAAAGGGGCCATAGAAAGTGTCCGTAATAATGAGGTGTCCGTATTAAGCGGGCGGCCTAAAAGCGGGCTTCGACTGTACCATCGACCGCCTGGTCGTCCAAAGTGATAACAGCATGGGTCAAGTATTCAAGGCAGCGTTAAATAGCCACCAAAAAAACGTGGGCATAGGGTTATGGCGCATTCAAAGATGGTGGCTCTGTCCATTCAAGCCGAGATATTTTTGATGCCACCCATTTCATTTTTGTTCACAAGTCGACCTTCTGTCCACTCGAAACCAATGCTTACCGAAACTGCATCATTTTTAAACCACTTTTCAGAGTGTTTTACCCTCTCCACACGAATCTGGGTAAGCAATAATGTGGTTTTGATAATGTCCCGTTTCGTGTGGACGGGGAATTTGAAGCCAAAGTTCGTTTAAACAGCGAATTTATATCTAGATGATTTATCCGTCTCAAGTATAATTTCGGCCTATGGGGAGCTTCAGCACCGACGACGGCGAAAGCAATGGCAACGATAACCAAAACAACTTTGCAAGTGCGTCACGCCTGTTTGTACATTTCCTTGCCGTTACTGTACGACTACGACGAAAAACTTCCTAAATTTCACGTTTTGTGCAGGACTTGAACACAAGACCACGACTTTCTAATTCTTTTCCTGAACCTCGATAGTCCTTCAGAATTCAGCTCCGGAAAAAAATTGCCAACATTTGATGAATTGAACGAGATGGAATAAACCAGATAAAGTTTGAAACAGCGCAAATTCACGTTTAAGCGACGTTTTGGTATCCGTGGCCGTCGTTGTTGCTTAAGCTGCCTACTTCATATATCTTATCCAAGTCGGGTTTAAGTTTTTGAGGGGTTTCATGCGTGGCAAGTATGTGACTCAACTCGAAAATTCATCGTTTTACACGCGGTACTTTTGTTATATCAATAGGGTACCGTGATAAAAAAGAAACGCGAACTACATAGGCGAGCAGAAGACAACAGAGCGTATGCACACTATCGATGGTGGTAGCACCTTTGAGATGGCCAAGGAACACCTTAATCTTAAAAAAGCTGTGGGATGTGATAGAATTTCACAAAGAGATCTTCGCCTCTCCAGCCCAGTAATGCTGATCCACTAACAAAATTGATAAACCATTTTAAAAGACCAGCTCGTGGTTAACGGTGTGGATAAGCAGAGTATTTGTGCCGGTTTTCAAGAAAGACAATGACACAGATAAAATTTGCTATCGGCCAGTTTCTATACTGCTCTTTTTGAAGTTTATGAGAAAGTTTCATTCGATCAGACGTATGAGGAATTTGGTACAAAGTCATCTTCATGTCTCTGTGGTTATTTAAGTAATGGTCCAGATAAGAAGGAAAGGACCAAAACGCAGTGAACACGTCGGAATGCAAAAAAGGTGCTAACTTTACTATTGTCTCTACTAAGGTTCTGATTGGTTTAAACATCAAATTTTACGAAATCTTCGCAAAGCAGCATGTATATTAATCCCTTTTCTTCTATCCAACTTCCTTATAACAAAATCTCGTCTGAGTCTAAGTAACACAGAAATCGTATGTGCGGATCATGAAAAATTGTGAACATTTCTTGGCCATTGTTTGCAACTCTTGTGATTGGTCGAAATGTTTTGACACAAAAATACACCCTTTAAAAGTGGAGTTTAAATACATTTTCTTTCGTAAACAGCCTTTTTGTAGATTTATGCATTCTCTACGTAAAAATGAAAACATTTCTATGTGAGGAAAGCGTATTGCGCCACAACAATAGAAATTGCTTTCCTTCTTACCTGGATCATTACTTAAAAGGACATTCTTGCTGTACGGCTCTGCTGAAAATGACCGAAGACTGGCGAACATGCCTCGACATTAGGGAAGCCTTGTCAACTGTAGCACTAGATCAAAGCAAAGCATTTGATTCTGCTTCTCATGGTCTTTAAGTGCAAAATTCAAGACCTGGGGCTTCCCTAGTGACGTACTGGTGACAATGTTGGCCTATATACAAGGAAGGCTACAATGTGTAAAAATAGACAGTGTCTGTTCAGGATGGGAAAGTGTGAAATCTGGCATCCCACAGGGATCTCTTTTGGGACCACTGCTATTCAATATTTACATGAATGACTTGACTTTTTGCATAGCTGACACATTCGTAAGACTCTAAGCCGATGACACAGCAGTTTACGGTTCTGACGTTTCTCTGTATTGAGTATTTTTTCCACGGGACTCTGTTTAAATTAGGTTATTATATGCTAAACCAGATGTGTCCGGACCTCTTCTCGGAGGCCCCATATGTGGTTTGATTCTTGTAAGCGACCACCTCCCTTAAGCGACCACTAAGTCTTTGCATTTTGGGTGGTCGCTTACGGGAGGTTTGACTGTATATTATTTGATTTTACGATTGTAAGTAGCTTTGTAATTCAGTTTACCATGCCCGTCACAATGTTAGGATCGTAGGAAAGACCAAAAATTTGGGAAGAGTTGTTTATTACGATTGACTTGATTGAGTTTTATTTGGCGATGCCTAGATAGTGATTGACTGGCCAAGGTGAATGAAACAGAGTGCTTCTTTAGCTCGAGTACCGTATTCACGTCATTTATCGGAATACGGCTTCTGTGTCGTTCAAACACCATATGAATCGTCTCGGTAAAAACTTCAAGCAGTTGCTTTGATAACGCCCACATTAGTAGCCCTTGTGTATGCTGGCGTGTTCTTCAGAGAAGCAAAAATTGGAATGATAATGATTCATTTACAGCGAATGGCACATAACACACAGGGTTTTACAGTAAACGCTCTTACGAGGTATGACACTCATTTTAAGCGTTATGCTGCTAAAATTACCCATATTAACGTACATTTGATCACATTGTCTGACGAAAAGAGTGAAACAGTGCTATTAAACGGCTTTAAAAAATAAAGAACAACCAGGTCCGTTATCAATAACCTGAGATCAGGTTCTATTTTCGTTTCGCTTTGTAAATAACATGCAGGCGGGCACGGCGAAGCGAAAATAGAGCCTGATACAAACCTTGTACGAAACGTCTGGCGCCCACTTTTTTATTGATTGACATTTGCCGAATATACGCTCATATGTGAGCGAATTTTATTCAGAATAAATAAGGACGTAGCCCACATTGGTTCTGCCTCGGATAGTTATTTCACAGTTTGTGAACTTTCTCGCCCAAAGGATTCGCAGAGTAGGATGAGCGGTCTTGTTCCTGCTCTCATGGCTCTCGTATGAGGCACATGCATTCATAGCAAGTACTTGACTTCGTCCCATGTCCGCCGTTCATCTCTTCGTTCCTCGTCAACGATTTTGTCAATATCTTTTTCTGTGTACTTATTTTTTACAACTTTCGAGGTAAAGGAAAGCTTTTCTTTATCGCCTAATTGGTCGGCAGATCCGCGGCAGAACAGCTCTAAGTTAAAATCCTTTTATCAGGGAACCAAATGGCGACCTAGGCTCAGTCTCCAGCCTTGAGTGTCTCGATGCGCCAGCGGTACTCCCCACCCGATGTATTTCCAGCAGGGGAGGCTAACGTTAGGCAAGCTATGTAGCGGTCCCTAGAAAGGTCACCCCAGGACACCCGGGATGGATTTGATTTGTATAGTGCCCAGGCCTCATTTGGGGGCCGCGCGTTGACTTCGTCGCATCGACTTTCGGCCTTTTTGGAATATATTGGCGGCTTCGAGTTTGTCAAAGCAGGATTTGTATAGTGCCCAGGCCTCATTTACGGGCCGCGCGTTGACTTCGTCGCATCGACTTTCGGCCTTTTTGGAATATATTGGCGGCTTCGAGTTTGTCAAAGCAGGATTCGCTTCTCTAGCTGGGAAAGCTTCATTTATTTGTATATCTGATGATATCCTACTTCTACGATCCTAGCATGTTTATTTACCTTTGGAATTCGAATTTCGTGTGTAAAGTAGTGTTGGAAAGGGAGCATGGCGGCCGAGATGCCATCTCGTGCCTCTTACCTTGTGTACTATATTGTGTTTGGAGGGTGAATTTGAGCAAATTATCACCAAACTTCATTTGAACATTAACGACAACAAGAACTAACTGCAAGGTAAGTTTCATCGACCTATTTCCTACAAATTTTAGGATCGTATTTTTACCCCATACAAACGCTGTAATTTTACTGGAAATGTACTGTGGTACTATAACAGAGCCTGGGTAACCTGTGATGAAAACGGTGATTTCTGCGCGGGTACAAAGCGAAGCTGCGCCGCGCCGATCCGAAGTGGATCGGCGTCATCGGCTGCTGGTGTCACTCTTTGGCGCATGTGTAAGCCGATGGCAGAAAGAAAAAAATGTTTCAAAAGCGAAGTGCTCGCTTTAGGGTCTCGCGGAAATACTACCGAAACAGGCAGACCGCGAATTCGGAGATACGCGTGACAGTTGATTTTGTTGTCAAATGTTAACGACTCGGGTTACGTGGCAATGTTTGTCAAACCAAAAAGGTGAACTCATGTGGTCACATTCTTTCTCGGCAAACTAATCAGTAAAAACAAAAAGACTTAAAGAGAGGTAACCGGAAAAAGTTTGCAAGCCTTAACCAGCTTATTATCCTAAAGAAATTCACCAAATCCAAGTTGCGACATATCATTAATGTTGTTATTTTGTTTGGCTGTGCTAGATATCCCTGTTATGTGTCATTTCATTTTTTTGTGACCTTGAATGATGTTTCTGGTAAAATGATTTTATCATAATTAACAGAGTTCTGACCAATCAAAGGTCTAAAGAACTGCGTGATAATCACGTGGGCAATTCATTGGCAAATATTTGTAAACTGAGTAATGAATTAAAATGTTTCTAGGAATTACACCGTCTAGTTCCGAGGGATAGTTTCCAAGAAAGCATCTCAGAAACTCGCATTTTAAAATGCAGTTTACGGTTTTATCGTATTTACGTTCGTAACTAATCATGTAATACGAAACAAGCTCCCTTTAGTTTACGTTCGATCTTCCGCGAAATCATGTGTGTTGTTTTCTCGTGTTAATATGATGTCTATCCGTGTACAGTAGTGAAACCTGTTTAAAGCGGGCCCATATTAGCTCATATTAAACGGGCACTCTGCCTTTCATTAAGCCTACACGAGCCTCAGAAAGTCGCAAACGTTTCACTCATCATTTTTGACCTTGTCTCGGGTGCAGTGCCGTTGCATTTATCCAGGGCATGTAAAGCTTGTAGGTTTTAGAAATCCGCAGATGAGTATAGTATCTCATACTTAAACGAGTTTCAAATAAGTATCGATCAACAAAGAAACATTTCTCATCCTTAAACTGTTTACCGGTTTTGAAACCTAAGATACCATGCGCTCTGGTATAGGATTTTAAGACTGAGAATACTGAAAAAATAATTCGGCGGGACATGAAGCGCATAACATGGTCGTTATGGGTTTATAGTTTTTAAATCGTATGTAGGAGTTACGCTGCTTTTTGGCAAGTGTTCCTAGTCAAATCCGACTGCAAAGGAAGCATGCCCGACCTAACACTGAAAGCCTGTGAGAGTTATACAGGAAGATCGAGAGGCCTCTGCTCGCAGGGTAGACTGCCTCATGAAAGGTATAGTAGATACCGATAGGAACCCTGCAATAGAAAAGATAGTAAATTTTCCTGGAGGCGTGATTCATGATTCACATTAGTTTACACTGTCTACCTTCCCTTACCATTATCGTGCTGTATGCGGATGATGCCTTAATTTGCTAACGAAACTGTCCTGATCACTCGGCAGTCGTTTTGATAGCTCACTAAAATCTAACCATCACAGTTGGGCTGAAATGAATTTCCAACAAGATTATTTGATAAGGGGACGATTTTTTCCCCTTCTAACCTTAGTTAAAAGTGTACTGCAATCACTGGTGTATTTCGAAAGGGATCTGAAGATATTGGACCGGCCAATCATACATTGCGAACAATACGCGACAAGCAGTTTACTTCAGTTAAAACTGTAAGAAGGTCTAGTGTGAGTGTCTCACGCACTTTCCATGCAATAACAAGGGACTTAAAAATAAAGGAAACAAGACAATACTAACCTTAGAACTGTTCACTGCTGTTGCTTCATGATCACCGATGATACAAGCAGGATGTCCTCCGTTTCTTCAAACTGTTAATATGTTCTACTCAATGATCCACTGAGCCTCATTGCTTACGAGTGCAAACAACCTAAAATGACTTTACTCAGTAAGAACTGAATTCAGTAAGCTGACAGAACACAAAGCACATCCTGCATTTTGGAGTCGCTTCGTGTGTAGAAGACCCAATCATCATGTATTTTATTTTGAGGGATTTGATGATGACCTTTGTCGCATGTGTTTTCTCGGAAAGTGAACGTGATGCGACATTAATTTCCTAGAAACCGCTTGAGAATTTCATTCACTCTCAGGTATCCTGTCGTTTTAAAAATAGTTTCAGAAATTGATTATAATGGATGTAAAAGTGGATCTAGGGAAAGGAACCTTTTTTTACCAAAGCTGAAAGAGGTCTTCTCAGTTTGGAACGGCATCATGACTACTGTATATAACAAGAGCCATAACAAAAGCCGGTCCGACAATTACCACTTGTCGATCGGCTATGAATGACGTTCTTGTTCAAAGGGAAAATGCATTGGTACAACTAGGAAATTCATTTGAGCTATATAAATCAACTTCCGCGGCAACGTTCAAGCATTTGTTGAACTCTTTTGGACAGTTTTTGAGTGATTCCTGATTCCGGCAGTCTAAGTCAGCAGCTCCCTCGACTGTTACGAAATGTCGGAGGGCCGTTGATTTTCCGCAGCGAAAAAAATAGGTTTGCCTCTTGGTTGATCTCCGACCGAATTCCAAGCAGATTGATACATATAGTACAGTTCAGAGATATAGGTATAGTGCCTGTGCTTCTTTACATTTTAAAATGTTAGCCTGTGAAACTGGTAATGTCTTTGCAAATAAACAAAAATACCTCTACAAACAGCCCTTAAAAGTTATATTTCCCTCGTATATAATGTTTTGCCTAAGATTTTTTTCGCTGCCGATTTTGTAGCACTATATGCTTTCTTATAACTGAATTTAGGTAGTCCTTTGCATGGACTGCTATTCTGCTGACTGTAGTTGCTTCCACATAACAATCAAAACATCGATACATTCTCTAGAGATCCATCCTTTGAGGTTACCTTTGGCCTCCATCGTGTCTGCCGCTTCTTGAAGTGATTTGGCTGATATTTTTGGGTGTGCGTCGACATTTCTGTGATCCTGGAGTAATTTCAGTGCTTCCTCGTACATGTCATTCCAGTTAAGCTTTTTCTGTAGTTCAGCCCATTTCTGCCTTGCTGTTTCCTTTTCTTCCTCCGTCTTCGGCAGTCTTTCCAAGTCGCGACGAATGGTCTTTACTTTGTAATTGGCAATTGGTGTGTACAACTGTGGAAGGACATACGCGTACATCTTGGCTTGAAGTTGCCGACTCAACTCGCCCAGGCGAAGAGAGGCCTGTAGATCTGGTTGCGGAGGAGCCAACATTTGCCTGCCTTCTCTGACACCAAACGAAAATAGCTTTTGATGCGTATCTTGAAGGTCTTTTACCTCTTTCTTCAAATTGTGATTTTCACGCCTGCTATTCTCTAGATCTTGCTTTACGCTTTCCACTTCACCAGATATTATTTCCAAATGCTCCTTTAAACTGGCATTTTCTTCTTCGTGGGCCACGTTGGCTTTTTCAAGCTCTTCTACTTCCTTCTCGACGCGGTCAAGCTTTCCCTCGACATTTCTAAGCTTGTCTTCTAACCCTTTCTTCTCAGTTTCTAGTTTGTGGATTCGAGACTTCAGTTTTGTAATCTCTTCGATTCTGGTTTTCAAGGCAATGTCCAACTTCTTGTTTTTGTCCTCCAGTTCTTTCATTGCTTTCTCTAAACGCGATATCTCCTCATTCTTCTCTTCGATTTTCTCCTTCAGAGATTTTATCTGCTCGCCATGTTGACCAATCATTAGCTCATTTATGTTATCGTGTTCGAAGGTTCGTACAACACTAAAAATAGCGGTCTCTGGTCGCGAAAGATTGTCTATTTGCCTGAAATGGTCTTCTCCCATTTTTTTCGCAATTTGGGTCGGCTGATGGTGTCAATTTGATGCTGAGAAAGCAAGGCTGTGACAACAATATATTACCCATGGAACGTTTCGTTGTTTTATACCATAGGTTTGCGCGTGCGCAGAAAGCTAAGGCATTTCTTAGAAATCGCAAGATGAGTTGGGAACGAGGTTATATTTGTGACTCATCTACAGTTTTGTATTGTTTTAGTACTGAGGAAATTGCCAGAACTAAGTAGGAGATCATACAAGGCATTTCTCGATTGGTTGCATCGGGATTGGGTAAACGAGTTGACTCGGCTGTTGATAACGTTACCGATATTTTAATTATAAATGGCGTCTATTAGTCTTCTTCGGAATTAGACGTGTATCTAATATTGGAGTTTTGACACAGGTTCTTGCTGTCATCTGAAACCACGGGTGATGTATTTCTTTGCGCAGACTAAGTCTTCCCCTTTGTGAGATGGTTTCCTGTAAGATATTGACAAGATAGTGACCAATAACAACCCGCGTGCTTGATGAATCCTGAGCTAGTATTAAAATCGTTCAAATATATCTGATAATTCTTCTCTATCGAAAATGGTTAGTTGTTTTAAATTCAACGAGTAGTTTCCACCTAGAAAGAAGAAATTCGAAAGTTTTCCCGGTCTCTTGACACTGCTTACAGCTACGAGTGGGAAGTTTTAAATAGTCTGATCTAAGTTAACTTGCTAGTCAATGGTTGATTTATTCCCTCAAAGGGCAGTCATATTCATTTGCAGTAAATCTGACAGTATTTATGGGTGTTTTCTTGTGTTTTCTTGTCTGTGCAAGATGAGTCAGTCTCTAGTTTTCAAGATACAAGGACTTGTTAATAGAAACAAGCATTTACTCTGCTGTTAGATTGTCTTAGAATTTTCCACCTGCTCTGCCTTGTTCTTTCTTTATATCAAGTGGAGTGATGACTAAGCGTTGATTTCTAGGAATCAGAACAAATTTCTAGAAAAAAACTTCTAATTAAACCGCATACGAAGTACCCTGCTTTACATTAGGCTTGGGACTTTATATACAATACATTTACATCCTATGCGGAGTTGCAGAGTTGCGTGAGTAAGATTATATTTTATTTCAAAGGAGAAAGCTTATGTGACGTCTTCGTCCCTATAGTAGCCACAATCGTAGGCGTATGGATTTGTGAGCTTGGTTAAGACATCATTAACCCTTTAAGCCCCAATATCCACAAGCAAATTCTCCAACTGATCTCTATAAGTTCTTTAAAGAATAAGTTGAGAGAATTTGAGAAAAGATCGAAGCATTTTCTCTTTGGTGATCATTTAATTACTTCTCATAACCTAATCTCTTTACATTGTATGGATATCGTTAGGAGAAAATTGATGTTGGTCACTACTGAGACTTAAAGGGTTAAAGGGACTATTTTTGGGGGTTTAGGGCATGGGACAGAGTAATATCACATGGGAAAAGGGCCAATATTATCACGAGCGTTTCGGAGTTCAATATATTTCCCGCATTTACAAACTACACAGTGTGTGACTGTTCAAAAACAAGCAAGAAATGCAAATTAAGAATCTTCTAGGATGACTTGTGTTTAATAATAATCTGGCTTTTCAATCGCCCCCCAAAAAAAAAAACCACCCTCTGCGACTGCAGCTGCAAAGTCACATGCATCATTGCAAATCCACAAATATGAGGTCTTCTCACAATTTTGGAATTATTAACATCTGTTTGTTCAAAACCGGATTCATCAACACTGTGAATTAAGGTACTGTATGGCGGTCCTCTTTTACCCAACATTTATTTTATTTTCATTTATTTAAATTTGTTGTTTATAGTAGCGTAATAAGTGATATAATAATGTAAGTGATCCGTGAACTATATATATGGTGATATAGGTTAGTTTCTCAGAAATTCCTTCCTTAGTTGCAGTCATAAAAGAGCATTAAGCTGCCTGACAAGGAATCAGAGTGCTTACTCTGCTTGTAGTTTTGGCGGTTTTTTGAAAATTAAAAACGTTTCA